AGCCGCATGTGAAGATGCCCAGTAATCCACGAGCCACGTGTCAAAGCATAGATTTATAGAAATGGACTAATTTAAGCTATAAGAACAGTTAGCAAGAAGCCTGCCACGGCCATACAGTTTGTAAGCAATATAAGTCTCTGTGTTTTCTTGGTTGGGTCTGAGTGGCTGTGGGACTGGCAGGAGATAGAGATTTGTCCTGACTGTGGGCAAGGCAGGAAAACTCTAGCTACAGTTGTCTCCTTTTGTTATTGGAGTAGATCCTAATTGCCAGCAACCTGGGTGACCAAAACCCAAACTTCATTATGTTCGAGGTCCCAAATTGTCTTTCCTACAATTTCTAACAAGTCTGGTAAGTGTATGACTTATCTTCTGGTCACAGTGGAGGCAGTGCTCCTTTGGCTAAATTCTACAGTGTGCAACTCAATGTTTCCAAAGCAAGCTTACTAGTAAATCCATTATAGCATGGGTTTTATTACTTCAAGTTTCTCCTGCATCATTATCCCAACAGGATAAAGCCTGTTTCAACAAAAACTTTGTTTCTTGTTCTCTCTCCCCTTCTTACTTTGTCCTTCTCGTGTTTGGGTCTGTTAGTCTTTGTTGGAAGTCAGTTCTTGGCCTGCCCCACAGAATGAACTTGGCTGACATCAGAATCTCCAATATGACAGGTCTTGTTTCATCTCCGTAGCTGGACTTTAAAAGCCTCTCCAAAACTCAGTGTTGTCAGACATAGTGAGAATAAGAGCCAGTATCCACCAAGCACTTGTGGAGCATAGACATTTTTTTGTTTTCTGTGAATTGTCTCATTTCTTCTGCACGGCAAACCTTCTTGAGTATGAAACTATTACCAGCCCCATTTTGTAAACTGGAGCACTAAGGCTAAAACTTTGGTCACTCACCCAACATCACAGAGGTAGAACCAGGATTTAAACTCAAGATGTCTGATTCCAGAACCTGGATTCCTGGGCACTAATTCATGAGAAATTGTCACTTGAATAATCATCTCTGAAACTAGATATGGATTGCATCAGTTAACATCCATGACTGAAGCCTGCTCACTCGGTCTCTTCCCTTTTGCTTCTCCAGCAAATATAAAGTATGTGGTTGTATCAATTTGAGATCCACTACAAAAAAAAAAAAAACAACTCACCTTATTACTAGAGAAGTTAAGGTGTGTGTGTGTGTGTGTGTGTGTGTGTGTGTGTGTGTGTGTCTGTGTGTGTGTGTGTGTGTGTGTGTGTGTAGATGCATGTGGAGGACAAAGGCAATGTCAGGTATTTTCCTCAATTGCTTATGACAATATTTTTGAGACAGTTCTTTCAGTGAACCTGGCACTCAGAGATCTGACTAGATTGGCTAGCCAGCATGTCCTGTCCCCAATTGCAGACATATATTGCTGTGCCTGGCTCTTTTGAAGTTAACATGTTAATAAAGGGAGCACATATAAGG